ATACATCGAAATTGAAATTTGAACCATACTAAATGTGCTTTTCTATTATTTTGGTTCAGGGTAGTATCTAGTCGAGCACTCTCGACTAGAGTTTTCTTACTTGTTTTATAATATTAAAATTTAGCTGTAATATTAAAATTTTATTTTAATATTATCAGCTTATATTTTATTTATGATTTCTTAAAATATATAAGTGCCGGAAGCAAATTTAATCAATTATAAAAAGTTAATTTTAGCTTTATAAATAGATGAATATCATAATATTAAATTATAGTTTTATTAATTAGAATTTTAAATCAAATCAGTTTGCAGGATATAGCATATATAATTTATCTTAAATATCTCAAGTTTAATTTCTTACAATAATCAGGAATAACGTGTAAACCTGTCGTGCGCTCGTCGTTCGAATCGGCTTGAGTCACCTTTTAAAAGGCGCTTCCTACTCAACAGGTCGCTTTATAAAGAGCGTAACCAAGTATTTAGGCAGCTGTTTGCAAATAATGATGAAATACCCTTTTATAGATTCAGAATACAAATACAAGCACAATTATGCACTATATATAAGACTGTGGCTATGACTGTGTGACTACGGCTTAAAATAGTCAAATGAAAAAGAAGCTTAGCGATTTATGACAATAAATAAAAAGGCTTTGTTCGATTAAATTTCTATTTACATAGACCGAGAAATTAGGAATTAAATGCCAGCTGTTAGTAAGGTATATATAATATTCTCAAAACCTATTCGACCTCAGACTGTCCTAATATTCTAAAAAGAACAAAAATTACATTTGCATACATAGCTCATTCATATATACATAATTATTAATTCATTAAATAAGCCTCAATGAGTCTTGGTGAAACTTTTTGAGGCTTTTTTGTGCTGCAACGTCTGCGTCTGCGGCTGCGGCTGCTGTCCATCTTATAAATTGAAAAGCGTGACATTTTAATTCTTTGCATAGATATTTGTTGAGCAGCCTTCGATTTCGTAGGCTGGCGTTAAATGGAGATTCAACAGAATGTTAATCAAATAAAGCAACAAGTGCTTATCAAGTCGCGTCAGAGCTACAGCAAACCGAAAGAAACTGAGAGGAATATGTCCATATGTACGTGTATAATGACCATTAGGGTTTGGGTTCGCACAATAAATATTTGCGCACATTTATCGGCGACCAGTTGCCATATTTGTGTATATTCCTACATACACATATTCAGGTTTTTTATCAATGCATAAATGTTTATAAATAAACAAGTGTGTATAGAAAAATAATAATACAATGTATGCATATATACATAGATGGATCGCCACGGCGAGTACATAATTTTAGCGCAACTGCGTAGAAAGCAAATCGCGTGTCGTAAACAAGTCGCGAGTAAGAAGAAAAAATTATAATAATAAAAAATAAAATATGTAAAAAATCAAAAACCTGGGCCCACATATCAAAAGTTTAATGTGAAAACTGAATTCAGCGAGCGGACGAGCGGGGAAAGGCGAGAAGAGGAAGAGCAGAGTAAAGACCACAGCCGGCAATCGATGCCTGGCCTGACAATGCTCATGACAATAATAATCTTCATTATGATCATAATGATGATGAGCAAGCAGCAGGCATACTCGACGCATTTTTGCAATTTAACACCCTTGCATATGGTATGTATTGAATTTTGACCTAGTGTGTAACATGATTTTTTATAAAGTATGTACACATTTATCTAAGATCGATAATAAATCGAATGTAATCTTTAAGTTATCGAACTGATTCTTAACATAAACGCAATTTAGTTAAGTTTCTGTTGTAAAAATCTCTTTCTTGTTTTTATAAATATAATATAATAATAAAAATTATATAGTTTATTTCTTAAGTCAATTAAATTTTATTTATTATTTTTTAAACACCTATCTATGGTCTATATTTTTACGACTATTGACTTTTAGGGTATTTCGAATTCGGCGTGCTCAATGTGGTTTCGTCCTCTGGTTCTCTTTAATTGCTGTCATAAACCAGGCACACGAATCGTTTGTGTGTTCAATATTCTATTTATAGATATCATGGGACTTACGACTCTGTCTGGCCACTTAAATGCGTTTAAGGAAGAAGCGCAGAGCGAAAGTGACAGAGACAGAGAGAGAGGAGGCGGTGGAGGCGGAACAACTGACAGATCGCTGGCCCACCCAATCGCCAACTGCTGTTCGCAAATGCAACTCGTAATCAGTAGAGTTCAGTGGGGAGTGGCGCAAAGTGGGCGGCTGGTCTGAGACCGTTGAAGGGGTTTGCTTGGATGTCCATACAATAATAAATCTAATGCTCATAGGCATTGGACCTTTGAGCGTCAGAGGTAATTGGCCTTTGGCGACTGACTGTCGTCGTGGTGTTGTTGAGACGCATAACAAAAATAAATAAACGAGCAGACCGAACAAACTACTCAAAGTAATGCAATAGGCATATGTATATGTATGTATATGCAAATAATTGTATAGGGTTCTACAAACAAACTTGACTTGATCATTGAACTATTGAAGAGAATAAAACGTAAAGCTACGTATAATATAATATCAAGATTTTTATTTTGTTGCATTTATATACGTCATTCTGAAATTATAAATCCCTCAATGATCTTTCTAATAACTCCCACAACTGTTGCAAAAATATTGAGTTCCTACCATCTTTACTTTTCATTTCTACAGATACAACAAGACTGAGGGGCAATCAATCATTCTTATCGCATTCCTTATAAATCCACTTGCCAATCGCACACACTACTTATGTATGTATGTATGTATGTATGTATATTCTGTATTGTATTTTGTTGTGACCCAATTTCTTCCTAGACATTCTCGTATATTCTTCCGCCTTTTAGCTGGCTGCTGGCATTAACTATTTATCTAGAACGCAATATATACGAAGGCAAACGTTGATAAACAAATAAATACTACTTTGAAATATTTAGACAAGCTTTCATTTTTATTTCATACTAAATTTCTATTCTTTTCTTTTCTATTCTATGTATTTGTTTTTTAGCTGGTTCCGGTGCAGCCGCCGTCTTCAATCTTATTTATCATCGATTCGCGGACGTCATTTCTCAGCTTCTCAGCGAATGGTTTTGCGATTGTAAAATTCTCGTTTTATTATTGTGTCTCGCTGCTGAGTGAATATTTTGGCCGAAAGCCCACCGAAATTCAGAAGCACCCCCCACAGCAGCAAACACGTCATTTGCGCTGCCACGCCCAGTTGCACACACGTTTCACCGCCCACTTGACGCACACACACAGTTATACACATGGCCATTTGCTCTTATCTAAATTTAAATGTGGCCTATTTAGTGCGTTTTTTTCTCTCTCTGTTGTTAATTCTTATCAATTACGTAAATTAAATTGTGGAAAGCAACAAAATAACACAAATTTATGTTTATTCTTCTTGTTCTTTTATTGTGTTTTCTTTCCTATCGCCTTCGTTTACGTTTGGCAACTTTTTGCGCATTGCTTTTGGAAATATGTGCAAATCATTTTGTTTTGTTAATTTCTCGATTTCATGAAAGAGCTTCTTCTTTCCTTCAGCTGCGAGTAAATTAATTATGATAAATTGACAGATAATTTGTTGTAGAAAAGCTATTGACAAATTACAGTGATTTCTATTTATTATTACTTTTTTGTATTCAATACTCATGTAAATTCCTTTGTTTTTCTTAATTTTCTTCCCTATTGTCACCGAAGACGTTTTAATTAATCCAACTAATCAGAAGCTTGATGTCCTCATGGAGATTATAAAAACGCCTGATGAAATCTTATTCTTCGTATTTCATCAGCCTAAATTCTTGAAGAATACCTGCGCAAAAGCTCTGTAGATAGATTGTTTATTTTGGTTTCGTTTTGTTGATGCGCAACCCAAGTTTGGCGACAGAAACATTTGAGGTTTGCGAGCGCTTATCTAAGCGGAGATGAGAGAAGCTTTGCTTTTAACTCTCGGGTTACCGCTTATCAAATCACTCACGAATACATATGTATGGCATATAGTATATTTGCAATATATGGTAAACGCCTGATGTTTTCTTTGTGATTCAGTCGAACGTCAATTGGAAGCCATAGAAAACTGAAACCAAAACAAGCTTAAAATAGTTGTTTTTCTCATTTTCTTATTCCTCATCTTCTTTCTCCCGTCGCTTTGCATAATAAAAAATAAATAAAACACATACAAAAACAAAAGCAAAAAACGGGTATACGATTTCTAGCTTTCGAGTCCACATTATCTCTGACGCATTTGCCGGCCGGCAAAGCGGAGACTGCGAAGCGGGGCGAGGGTCGATTGAGGGGTTTGAGAAGTCGTCTGTTTCACTATCAAGCTCTAGTTGAGCCCCTCAATTTGAATTAATTGCGTCGTACTCTCTAAGTGTCCATTACTTTTGTTATTTGCATTTATAGAGCTACAAGCGCAAAATTCTCTATTGATAAAATTATTTTAAGCACTATACATATCGACAATTATTGTATCTGTGAGCATAGGGTAGGATACCCTATCTTATAATCTTTTTTAGGTATTTCTTTTCTTTGCAGAGTATTTCTTTGTTTCTATATACACACACATACACACAGAATAAATAAATAATTTTTGCTGGC